GACGACCGTGAGGATCCCATCAACGCCGGTCTTGTGCTTCGGGAAGGGGCCAGTGATATCCATAGCAATTGCTTCCCGTCGCCCAAGGGGCACTGGTAATGGGTGTAGCTCGCCGAACGGACGATGGTTGCGTGACTTGCAACACCGACAGACTTCGCACGACTCACAATAGCGGCTAGCCTCCTTGAGAAGGTCGGACCAATAGAACCGCTGGGGAAGTCGGCCAAGTGTACGGTTGACACAAAAATGTCCGGAGGCGAGCGCATCGTGAAACTCGCCAAGAAGCCGTGTGCGCAAGTGTGAATCATTCGGCACATAAAGAAGATCCTTACCCTGTGAATGCATAAGTAAGTAACCCTCTTGGATCCGATAATGCGAAGGCACTGGATTCGGAGAGGAGCAATTCGCGTACTTGTCGCGAAAGTGGGGGTCAACTTGATAGCCGTGGATGAAGCTCTCCCGCAAGTCGTCGTCGATCTCGAAGGTAGAGTAGACTGCGGTGCAAAGATCCGGTCGCCGTGAGAGGGCGTCCGCAAAACAGTTTGACTTTCCGGGAATGTGATCGGGGAAAAAGTCAAACTGGTCGATGAAAGCCATCCAACGGGCAATGGTACTATTAATCGTGTCTTGCGACTTGTAGAATACCAAAGGATTGTTATCCGTTACCCATCGGAATGCTTTTCGACGAAGGAGGAAATGTTGCCAACGCTTGAGGGCGTGGACGAAGGCAAGAAGCTCCTTCTTCCGTGCGTCATCGATCAAATGCACGGGAGGTACTTTCTTGCTAAAGTACTCGACCGGGTGCCAGTCTGTGCCATCGTGCTGCTCAAGGACGGCCCTAATGCCATAGCCCGACGCATTGGTAGTGACGCGCGTAGCTAGAAGCGGGTCGTAAATATGTAACACCTCGGTGGACAAGAGTGTCGCTTTGAGTGTCTAAAAAGAATGGCGCGCGTCGTCATCGAAAACAAAAGGCCGCTCCTCGCTTTGTAACTTGCTTAGGTTGRCCGCGATCTTCGAGTAACCCTTGATGAAGCGCTGATAATAACCGGCCAAGCCGAGGAAGGATCGGACGTCCGTCACATTCTTCGGCTCGGGCCACTCCTGGATGGCTTGAATCTTGTCCGCCAATGGACGAATGCCTTCCGAAAAGACAAAATGACCCAAGTATTCAAGCTCTTGCCGGACAAACTCGCATTTATCGCGGTTAGCTTTGTACCGGGCTGACCGAAGAGTCTCTAGAACACGGCGAAGGTGCTCGAGATGCTCCTGTAGATATCGGCTATAGACGAGGATGTCGTCTAAGTAGACTAAAACGAAGCGGTCCAGCATAGCGCGAAACTCGATGGTCATGGCCGCCTGAAAGGTGGCCGGGGCATTGGTGAGGCCAAAAGGCATAACTACCCACTCAAAATGCCTATATCGCGTCTTAAACGCGGTTTTGTACCGATCTTGCGGGCGGATGGAAATCTGATGGTAGCCCGACTTGAGGTCCAACTTCGAAAAGTACTTCGCGCGGCCCAACCGCTCAAGCAAATCGTCAATGCGAGGTAGAGGCCCCGCGTTCTTGATGGTTTGCGCGTTGAGGCGTCGGTAGTCAATGCAAAGTCGAAGGTCCTTGTTCTTCTTCCGAACGAAGAGAACGGGCGCACCGTAAGGTGAGCTRCTAGGGCGGATCCAACCCTTGTCGAGTACATCGTCGAGTTGCGCACGGAGAACTATGAGCTCCTCCTCGGACATGCGATAAATGCATCCTTTCGATGGCACGGTGCCGGCCTCAAGTATGATCTCGTGAGAGATTGGCTGGTCCGGCACTATATCGGAGGGTGTCTCAAAAACATCCGAGAACTCGTCTAACAACCTGGTCACACGGGGGTCGGAAGACACTTCTGTGGACGATGAATCGGTCGTCGGGACGGTTCGAAGCAAAGCGATGCCAATCTCTTCGACATGCTCGGAACGACATGTGTCTCGAAAAGATTTGGCACTCACGACTTGGCACCTAATGGAAGTGCGAGGAGGAGGAATAGTACACGGGACCTCGGTGCCAGTTGCATCACGAATCGTGAGCGTGCGTCGATGGAAATTGACCATGTGGTCCGTTCTAGAAAGCCAAGGCATCCCCAAAATGACATCGAAGTCGGTGTCCAACACGTCAAAAGTGACGGGTTCACATGCGTGCGGTGCAAAGTACACCGGGACAGCCGAGATGTAACGGTCTAAAAGCTGTTTCKTCTTACCGTCGGCAAGAGCGACCGTCGTCGGATGTGACTTCCTCCGTACTTGTGCGCCAAGGCCAGCCCGAGTCATGAAGGACTGGCTGATGAAGTTGCGAGTTGGGCCGCAATCCAGCAAAGCGTTGCAGGCCGCTTGCCTAATCTGAATGCGAACGTAGAGCAACGGTGCGTTGTTTTTTTCGTATCGTTGCGAGACAAACTCGCAGGCCACCTTGGCAACGTAGCCAAGCATGTCCCCCACCGTGACTTCGTCTACCGTCGACGAAGTTGGTGGTGCATGGAAGGAAAGATACTGGTGTAAGAGGGCGCATAGGGTTGTGCTTTGCGGCCCCGGAAGGTTGCCCGTCATAGGGAGAGGAATCCAAGCGAAGTCCTCGGGCGTGAGCGGGTCCAAAGCCTCCTCGTTGAACACGCTTGCCGAATCCCTTGATGAAGATGAACTGGCGGAAGAACCTTCGGACGGTGAGAAAGCCGCACATGTATCTTGTCCTTGAGAAGCATCCAGTGAAGGAACGAGCCCGGCAGCGAAGTCTTCGAACAAAAGTGGAAGACTCTCGACATCCGCATATGCCTCGGAAGAAAGGGCGGTCGTGCGCACAACCGCTTCCGATGGCGTCGAGGGAGGTGTCGAGTCACCCTCGGCGGTGCCTACTCCCTTTGGTGGGGCAATGTGCAGCATCGTGGATGGTGTTGTTGCACCAAAGGCAGTAACGGTACTTGAGTCTTGTACGATAAGAATTCGCCGAGAGTCCGTATTGTGCCCAAGGTTCGTCGGCGGCTGATCCGGTGCTCGGTGTAGAGGTGGAC